ATCAGCGCCGCAGCGCCTGGGGAAGGGACCGATCGCGTCAGGGGCCCGCTCCCCAACTCTCCCCACCCCGTTCTCAGCCTCAGCACCCTTCCGTAACTTCCTCCTGGTCCCGCCTCCGGACTCCCCCGACTCCACAGACGCCCCCCTCTCCAGACACTCCCTCACAACCCCCTGCCCTCGACACCTCTCAAAGCCCCCCCGATTCTGCCCCATCCCCACTCGTAGCTCACCCCTCCAGTTTCCCTTTGAGAAGCCTCTGGCCCCAGGTCCCCCCTTCTTTGCCCAATTACCCAAGGGTCCCCCGAATTCCAGCGGGGCCCGGGAGCCCTGAGGGGCCATGGTCTCCGCTCCGCCGGGAGGTGGGGGTTCACAAAAATCCGCCAAGGAAACACCCTCCACCCAACCCCCAGATGGGCTCGGTGACGCGAGGAATCCGTCCCCTCTGGCCAGCACCTGTCCCGGGCGGCGCTCGGACACAGCGCATGTCCACCCTGAGGTCTTTAAACGGGCCCGCCCCCGGCCCATCCTGAGCCCAGCAGATCAGCCAATCGGCTCTTGGGGCGAGCCCGACGCAAGCATCTGGGAGGCAGAGTGTCAGCCTCACAACTCCACCTCCTCAAGTCCCGCCCCTGCAAGCCAGAGGGAGGAGACGGCACATCTTTATTTTTTGGGTCTTGCGTGAGAGGGGAAGGGCCGCGGGGACTAGAGGTCCAGGGATGCGCGGGTTGGGGCAGCTGGCCAGCCTGTGCATGACAATGGCCTGGCCTAGCCGCGCTCGCAGATGACCTCTACCACACTGGGTTCCATGGGCACTGGGTCCGGGCATCGCAGGGCAGCTGAGGCCACCACCTCGTCCAGCAGCAGGTGCACAAGCTCCTCGTCGGCCACGAAGCGCCACAGGTAGAGCTGCAGAAAGTGGCAGTCCACCTGCACCTGCTGCAGCCCAAAGCGCCCAAAGGTGCGCAGCCGCACGCACTCCAGCAGCGTCTTCAGGCTGATCTTGATGATGCCGGTCAGCACTGACACCTGTAGGAAGGGACACGGGGATGCAGCGCAGGACAGTGGGTGTGGGGGAAGGGCACCCACGTTAGGGCCAGGGACACAGTAAGATGCCAGTAGCTGCGATGGCATGGAACGCCCAGGGAGGGAGGGATACGAGATTAGCCTCGTCATCTGGAGGGAAACACAGGGACTGCCCAGCAACCATAGGCAGAGATGGGGGTCAGCAATGCCGGGGGACTGGGGGTTTAGTGCGTCAGAAGAACACGGGGTCCCTGAGTGTGGGCTGGGCCGGACTGAGACCATAGTGTGAACAGGAACCCTGGGGAGGACCCAGGACTGCTGTGGGAACTAGCACAAGAGCCAAAGAGACGTACTGCGCAGCACCCACACCCAGGCTGGGAGCACACCAAGGTCGGGGCAAAGGGCCATGGGATGTGATGGTGGGGCTCTGGATACTCACTCCCGGAAACACCCCTCGGACAAAGACTGGGGGGACAGATGCTAGGGCTCCCTGGCCAGTGTGGGGACCCTGGAAGGGGGGTTCACTGGTGACTTCAAACCTTGTTGAACTCAACAGGGCTGAACACATCAATACGCTCAGAGAACAGCTTCTGGATGTTGCTCAAGAGGTTGGTGTCCATTGGGGCACTGGATGGGGGGAGGGGAGACAAGCATTCAGAGCCCACCCTGCACCCGTTAACCTTTGTCCATTCCCCCAGGGGCTAGTCTGACCAGCAGACCTGGGTGTATAGCTGGGTGCATAGCGGCCCTGCTGCCGGGAGCTGCTGTACACGGAGAAGGTCCTCTTGCTGGAGTCACTGCTCTGGGCCTTGCGGACACCCTCTTCGTACAGGAGCCCCACCTGGTGGTGGAAGGAGACACTGCAGAGAGGCCAGAGTCCAGGGGACCTCCAACTCACCAGGTGCCCGGCGCAAGGGCTAAGGATGCCCTAAGCTACACTCATTTACTACAAGTCACACTTGTTACCACAAACACAGGTAGTCCAGGCTTGGTACCTCACTGTTACCCAGTCTCTATTTACAGAAGTAGCGGAGTGGGGTAAAGGCGAGACATAAAGACACTGAGGCCCTTATTTTCTGGGTGACTCGGCCTCAGCTTCCTCATAGAAGGAATGGGGGTGACGATGCCACAATCTGGGCTGAGGAGGAATGAGGCCACGGATGCAGGTACTGCCTGGCCCCTGAAGTCTTGACCCTCAGAGGGTGTTTCCCAACACCCCCTCGCCCTGCACCTTCGGGCTCCCCTGACCAGCACCTGCACATCAATAGCCGTCGTGTCCTCCACCACCCGCTTCATGACAGCGCGCACATTCCGGGGCTCCAAGGTACTGAGCCAGTCCCGCGTCTCCACACTCTTGCGCAACATCTGCGATATGACCAGGCCCTGCACCTTCACATAGTGGGTCAGCAGCCGCCGTGCCGTCTCCCTGGCCTCTGCACACAGTGTGCTCACAGGTGTCACTGGAGACTGGTCCTGAGCCAGGGATGCAGAGGACAAAAAGGTAGTGGGTGGTGGGGGAAGCTCAGGGGCCACTGCCAACCAGGAGTGGGGCACGGGGGAGGCTGGGTTGCGCACAGGCAGCTGGCCTGACCATGAGAGCACTGCCTAGCCTCCTGCTTTCCCAGCACCACCACCCCCTATCCTACTATGAGCTAGAAGTTCACCTGCACCAGAAACTGTTCGTCAGTGAGGGTGAGAATGTAGGAGATGGTGGCCGTCTCATAGTCCAGGCAGAGGCGGGAGAGGAGCAGGAGCAGGGCAGGTGGCGTGGCACCTCCCTTCTCCCCAGGGCTGTCACAGAAGCTCTGAGCCGTCTGGCACATGGACCGGATGAAACCCACGATGAGGCCCTCACGGACGCCCTGGCTGCAGAACTCGCCCTGTGAGGAGGAAGGGCCGGGTATACAGCAGGTCCCCTCTTCCGGGCAGGGGCTGCTAGTGATCCTCTGCTGGAACCCTAAATCTAAATGCCCTGGCCCTTCCCCATCCCTCCAGGCTCTGCCAGCATTCCTCATGACAGCCTGAAACCACATCTAGAGTGCCTGGGGGCAAGCACTGTGTGCCCTGGTGGCTACCAATCTGCAGAATGAATAAAAGAATGCCCAGAAAAAGAAAGTGCCCAGGGGCAGGCCATACCCGGAAGTAGGGCTTGTTGGAGAAAGACACCTCCTTGGCGGTGAAGAGGTGTACAGCAGCCAGCGAGGCCTTGATGTGGCTCAGGATGGAGCTGGCCACATTGGCCAGCAACTCGGCCAGGCCAGGGCCTTCCTTCCCGGCCAAGCGAGGTGCAGCCAGCGCCTGCCGCACGTCCGTTAGGCAGCCCAGGAAGGCCGCCCGCAGGCCCTGCAGGTGGTGGCCCAGGCGCTCCCGGGCTACT